TGGTAGATTGGTAGATTAGTAGATTAGTAGATTAGTAGATTAGAAGATTAGTAGATTAGTAGATTAGTAGATTAGTAGATTAGTAGATTAGGTAGATAGATGGATGGATGGATGGATGGATAGATAGATAGATAGAGATTTGAGAAGGGGTGGGCGGAGGGGGGTAACAGCACTATGGGTACAGGAAAGGACAGTGCAGCAGTGCAGAGGGAATGTGACAATACAAAACGAAGGTCACTTGAGGCAAGGTTGAATTAGGGTCCAATGTGTATGGGTTGTGAGGAAGCAATAACAGTACAATAACATGCGCACATCCTCATGGCGCTGTGGCGTTGCCTGGAAACGCTGTGGGTGGACGGGAAAGTTCGTTGCTTAAGAAGGATGGGGGAGACCTGGGGAGCCATAATACATGCATGATGTGGGCAAAGACTCTGCAAGAAACATGCATGGATGATATAGGTCGGACATTTTTTGCCTTTAGCTCCCAAAAAAGGCTGTGTGTCGCTTTGTCGTGTTGTTGTTTTTGTTTGTTTCTGCTTGAATGGTTCGCTTTATGCAGCAAATGGCAGATGTGAAATTGATGCCAGAAGAAGAAACAGGCAGGTTCTGGTGCAGGAGTGAGCATCTTATAGATGTGGATATGTATAGACATACAGATAGACATAGAGACAGAGATGGAGATAGAGATAGACAAAGAGAAAGGGATACTGGCAGAGTGGTAGAGATATAGACATAGACACATAGATATATATATAGGGTATATATATATATGTATAGGTATATAGACATAGATATATAGATATAGATATATCTACCATCCATCTAGGTATACACATAGACATACACATAGATAGATGGATGGATACATAGATATGGTGTATGTAGGGTCATCCCCTCATGAGACATTCCTGGATATGTCTGTGGGGTGATCACCTTTCAGGAAACTTGGAACGGCTTCGTTGGGTTCTAAGTACACAAATTATAGATGTATATGTATATAGTATATGTGTATATATTGTACATGTATATATATATATATATATACATACATTATGTGTATATATATATATATGTATATAAATATTATATATATATGTATATACATTATATATATATACATACATATATATTATGCATACGTACAACTCCCCCAGTGGACATTCTGTGTGGAACTACATTAAGCCCTTCCCATCTCCACATGTTGTTTAAGAAAAAAAATGAGTGTGTTCTTCAATGGTTTCAGATCCCAAATCATTAAGCCATCCATTTTGATGGAATATATATATATCATAATCATATATATATGGTACATAGATACATAGATAATCGATAGACACAAAGATAATCACATAATACCAAACGGCTACCCCTCCCCCCAACACTTCACGCGGCACCTGAATCGACATGCTCCCTGTCACTGCCATAGGCTCTGATGGCTCCAAGACGCAACTCAGACGTCGCCAAGTGCCTGATTTCAACGCGGAGGTCGAGAGAATCTCAGGGAATCTGAGGGAGACATCAGTGGAACTCAATAGCTATGTTGGAAAATCGCCCAAGTTATGGGAAAATAGAGGATCCCCCGTGGATTCTGATCAGTCCCCATATGTTTGAAGGGTAGGTCAATAACAACCCGAAGAAAGATAGACATCAACCTACATATATATATATATCCTCACATGTTTGATGGTTAAAACCCCTATGAATGATCATAGAATCACCATTCTTGACAACGAATGAACCTACAAAAAGATATCATGTTGTTGCTTATATATGCTTGATATATCCCTGGTATACCATGTTCTGCCCACTATATCCCCATCATATCATATGATATTCCCATTTTATCACATTATATCGGCAACCAACTGGGGTTGGTAGCCAAACTGCTTAGCCAAAAACATCTGGAGCTTGCAGCAATTCTGATCATTCTGAGGTAGAGACCATTCGTCGAGCTATTATCTCTCATCTGCCATCGATTTCCAGAGAACCTCACAGCGAGAGCTAGTGCAGCTGTTTCGCAGCAAGCACGGCGTGATTCAGTCTTGGCTTCAGAAATTCGTTACCTTAAAAAAAATTACACCGGCATAGACCCCAGATAGAAAAGGTTGGAACTGATGGTTCCCAACGTGGGAACCAAAGGTTACCATGGCAATGAACTGCCAGTTCCCAGACCTTGAAACTTACGGTTCCCAACCTGGGAACCAGAGGTTACCATTGCAAGGAATTGCCGGTTCCCAGAAGTTAGAATTTATGTTTTCGAAGCTAAGCAACTATCATTGTAAGGAACTGCAGATCCCCAAAGTTTGAAACTCATGGTTCCAAAGCTGAAAAAGCATACGTTACCAGTGGAAGGATCTGTTGATTTCAAAAAATAGAAATCATGGTTCTTAAGGTTGTTTTGTTTTGTTTACTGAGCCGGTAACAGAACGATTTGTTTTGCTTAATGGACCGGTAGCGGAATGTTTGCGTTCGGCTGCTGGGCCGGCTTAAAAATGTTTTTGCACGAAAAAGGTGCATGTTAAAATGATATGAAAACAATCTCTTTGCAACTTTATGGTTTTGCGTAATGGACCGGTAAAGAACGCTTTGTTTTGCTTAATGGACCGGTACCGGAATGTTTGCGCTTGGTTCGTGGCAAGGAGCTGCCGGTTCCCAAAGGTTGGAACTCACTGTTGCCAACGTGGGAACCACAGGTTACCATTGCAAGGAACTGCCGGTTCCCAGAGGTTGGAACTCCTGGTTCCCAACCTGGGAACCATGGGTTACCATTGCAAGAAACTGCCGGCTACCAGAGGTTGGAACTCATGCTTCCCAACCTGGGAACCATAGGTTACCATTGCAAGCAACTGCCGGTTCCCAGCGGTTGGAACTCATGCTTCCCAACCTGGGAACCATAGGTTACCATCGCAAAGAACTTCCAATTCCTAAAGGTTGGAACTGATGGTTCCCAACGTGGGAACCAAAGGTTACCATGGCAAGGAACTGCCAGTTCCCAGACCTTGAAACTTACGGCTCCCAACCTGGGAACCAGAGGTTACTATTGCAAGGAATTGCCGGTTCCCAGAAGTTGCAATTTATGTTTTCGAAGCTAAGCGGCTATCATTGTAAGGAACTGCGGGTTCCCAAAGCTTGAAACTCATGGTTCCAAGCCTGAAAAAGTAACGTTACCAGTGGAAGGATCTGTTGATTGCAAAAAGTTAGACCTCATGGTTCTTAATGTTGTTTTGTTTTGTTTACTGAGCCGGTAACAGAACCTTTTGTTTTGCTTAACGGACCGGTAGCGGAATGTTTGCGTTTGGCTGCTGGGCCGGCTTAAAAATGTTTTTGCACGAAAAAGGTGCATGTCAAAATGATATGAAAACAGTTTCTTTACAATTTTATGGTTTTGCTTAATGGACCGGTACAGAACGCTTTGTTTTGCTTAATGGACCGGTACCGGAATGTTTGCGTTTGGTTCATGGCAAGGAACTGCCGTTTCCCAGAGGTTGGAACTCCTGGTTCCCAACGTGGGAACCACAGGTTACCATTGCAAGGAACTGCCGGTTCCCAGAGGTTGGAACTCCTGGTTCCCAACCTGGGAACCATAGGTTACCATTGCAAGCAACTGCCGGTTCCCAGCGGTTGGAACTCATGCTTCCCAACCTGGGAACCATAGGTTACCATTGCAAAGAACTTCCAATTCCTAAACGTTGGAACTGATGGTTCCCAACGTGGGAACCAAAGGTTACCATGGCAAGGAACTGCCGGTTCCCAGACCTTGAAACTTACGGTTCCCAACCTGGGAACCAGAGGTTACCATTGCAAGGAATTGCCGGTTCCCAGAAGTTAGAATTTATGTTTTCGAAGCTAAGCAACTATCATTGTAAGGAATTGCCGGTTGCGAAAGCTTGAAACTCATGGTTCCAAACCTGAAAAAGCATACGTTACCAGTGGAAGGATCTGTTGATTCCAAAAAGATAAAGATCATGGTTCTTAATGTTGTTTTGTTTTGTTCACTGAGCCGGTAACAGAACCTTTTGTTTTGCTTAACGGACCGGTAGCGGAATGTTTGCGTTTGGCTGCTGGGCCGGCTTAAAAATGTTTTTGCACGAAAAAGGTGCATGTCAAAATGATATGAAAACAGTTTCTTTACAATTTTATGGTTTTGCTTAATGGACCGGTACAGAACGCTTTGTTTTGCTTAATGAACCGGTACCGGAATGTTTGCGTTTGGTTCATGGCAAGGAGCTGTCGGTTTCCAAAGGTTGGAACTCACGGTTGCCAACGTGGGAACCACAGGTTACCATGGCAAGGAACTGCCGGTTCCCAGAGGTTGGAACTCATGCTTCCCAACCTGGGAACCATAGGTTACCATTATAAATGTTCAAACTCTTGGGGGGGGCGTGGTGCTGTGGAACTAGGGCGGGCACCCTGCTCAGATTGGAAGGTATGTAGTCTTGATTATATTTGAGCACAATAGGTTTGAACATGCGAATGACTTCAATGCCCATGGCTGTCACTGATGAACAGCTGCACGCACTTTTGTCAAACTCACGCCCTTTGCTATCATCCAACTGCTGTTCAGACCTGAGCTGGCTGAACGATGCCATGTGCTCAAATGGCGCTCACGGATGAAGGCTGTATCGTGTTGAAGTGGCATGAATGGACTGAGAGGTACCATCTAAATTTGAAAGGGTATGCAAGAAAGAAAAGGACACCGGGCACAAGACTTTTGACCGCGTGAGCAGATCTTTCATCTCTGCGGCAACTGGTTGTTTGTTGCCCGTGCGCAAAACGCAGATTCGCTGCATCTGATCCAACAAGCCGTTGGGAATTGTCAATTAATGCACATGTAGATGTGTAAGCCGTGTAAGCCTAGAGCGTATGATTGAAACATATAATATGCTTTTGTGTGGGGCTACTAAACTCTTGACATGTATATATATATATATGATATCACAGATATCACACCAATCCATGCAGCACTGCCTGCTAGGTAGTGAAATAGTGAAACCATTTCTTCAGCTAGTCAGATGTTTGAGATCTTTGGACACCTTGCTTCCACGCTGTGCCCGGGCCGAAGAAGATTCCGCCCCCAAGTGCTTGGTCACCACATCCACGCACCCCTGCCATACGGACAAGTCCCCCCATTGACGAAGTGCTTCGTTATGCTTGTCCGTCAAGGCAATGTCCTCTGCTTCAGTGGACTTCTCTGCTTGTTTTACTTGTTCTGCCGGCCTCAGATAAACATAAACAACACACTCTTCAAACCAGTGAAGCTGGAACCTTGCAGAATAAAACAAATCTACAAATCTACAAACATGTTTCTCGCACAATTTCAGTCATGTCAACCAATTCAACCCAAAGACGTGAATCCGCGGTTCAAGGACACATACCACTTGTCATCATATTTCCTGACGGGGATGTAGAATCCATTGTCATTGATGGACTGAATGGCATCCTTGTCGTCCACTGGCGAGAGGTTGTTGTTGAAAATGTGGTGTGCCTTTGCCAACATCAACGCTTCCGTGTTCATCAGGAGTCTGGGGCATTGGATTTGCAAAGGTTCACGGCCGTCTGATAGGAAAATCTTCAAGGTGGAAGAAGCATCAAAGACCAACCTAAACGCATAGCACAAACGTGCGAGATACAAAAAGTTAAAAGTAACAATGAGGATACATGATACATGGCATGTAAACCAATCTCCTACTTTCCTTCACATATCCAAATCATGAATTCTAGGGAGGTACCTCCCCAATACATGTGTCATGATGTGTCATGTGTCAAGGAAAACTGGGGAGGTTGCTCCCCAAATCACATGTTTTGGTGTCACGTGGCACTGGAATAAGTTTGTTCATTTATTACAACCCGAAACCCGAAACCTTATTCAATATGGGGATGCACCTCCCCAATTCCAACTGCTTTGGATGTTGCAAAGCATGGTGCATAGGTATATTCATTGGTAGTCATCTGTTAGACAACCATCATTTTGCAAACATTGCCGTAAAATTACTTTCCAGTTCCTCCGTGAACTATTTGGCAAACAAAATGATTCAGAAATTTGTAAGCATAAAACGCCAGACCCCCACAAGAAAATCCAAGAAACAGCGGTGCCTCGACGAAAGTGATTGCATCGGACAACTTTTGCTCGTTCTTGGACTCTTTTGTGGTAGCTTTTCTCTTTGCCTTCCTTTTGACAGCTGCCTTGCCCATGACTGCTTGCTCAGCAATATCCTTTCCCTCAGCAGACTTGGACTTTCCTGAAGGTTCAGATGACCCTTGCTCCTTGAGAAACTGATGCGTTTTCATTTTGTCTCCCTTTCCACTTTTTCCCTTTTTCACTGCAGGGACAACGAACGCCAGGCATGGCATTTCGGATGCCATCAACGTGTCCCAACCTTTCCCAAACACCTGCCACGGGAGAAAGGGCCCTTGGCCCTCATGTCTTTCTGCCACCAAAGGAACTGAGTTGCCAGATCCTTCGATAGCAACGGTGCCATAGAAGAACAACCCGAGCCCCTCCATGAAATTCCATGCGACCTGCGCAAACGAAGAAGACAAATTTGATGGATCGGAATTCCCAGCAGCAGAGCCTGAAGCATCTTTGTCTGGTTCTGTAGTCCTGGCTTTCTTGGCAGCTGGCTTGTCTGATTTGTCTGATGATGACCACGAACTTGCATACCCAAGCACAAAGATGTCATCCTTCTCACCCTGGCCCTTCTTGATCAATTGCTGTTTGGTCAGCACCTTGTCTTCCTGGACGTCAACTTCAATCCCCAGCCAAGCTTGCTTAGTATCCACTGGATTCAGCATGATCTTGATCTTGTTCCACTGATCCTTTTCACGTCGCCTGACCGTCACTTTGTCAAAACATAGTGACGTAGTGCTTATTGGCTAATGGGCCAATGATGGTAGTTGAACCGGTCAAGCATTTGCATGGCCATTGGTACAATGTTGTCCAAACAATGAAACGCGTCCAGCTGATCTATCCATACATTCACGTGTATTGCGTGTATGCATTATGAACACTGCTGTACTCGTTGTCTAGGCTCACAAGAAACCCACAGATTCACAGATTTGTTCCAGTCATGAAATTGGTCACTCGGTCAGACATAATATCCTGAACAAAAAAATGCAATCAGTCCTTGCATTGTCGAACAGCTGCTGCTGGATTGCAAAGCGCTCGGACATCAGTGAATCGATTGATGTCATCGCCAAGTCATGGTGCAAGAGCATCGCGTCAAACTCAAATGGAGGGGAAACACAGCTAGAGACCAGAGAATGCAGGCAACTCGAATATGTGCATCTGTATGCTGAAAATCAAATATTGGAAACAAGCCGCAATTCCACAACCCAACAGTGCATGCAGCAAAATGCACATTGTACATTTGATATCTTGACAAGAATGGGAAACTATATCCAGAATCCAAATCAGAACCCTAGCAAATAACTGAGAGATTCAAGTCAAAGCTCATTTGGTATTTGCGTATTCTGTCAGAATATCAGATAAACGTGTCCAGTCCCGTACAGTGCAAATAAGAAACAGCCAAGGGCTTGGGGGAAGCATCGCTGAGAGATATTGAAGGCGCATCACCAGGTGGAGGCTGACCAGGCAATGAAGATGCAGTGGCACCACGAGCGGCAGAAGAAGCCTCAAGAAAAATCTTGGGTGGTTGTCATGGTCAGTGGTGGTGGTGGTGGTGGTGGCCACTGGTCACTCGATTCCATGGCCAGCAATTTGCTGCTGATTTACTTACTCAAAGGCGTTTACAGACAGCAAGATGCAATCAAGCATTGCAGTAACAAGTGGAAATCAAAATGGCATGTCATGTTATGTCACCTGATCCCACCAAATTAAATAGCATCAATCTAGCCTGCGGAATCTCACAGTGCAACACTTATATTAAAGGTAAAATTAAATGAATGCATACATATACGTGCGCTGACTGGGCTGAGAGCAACATGCAGCCATACAGCTGCCAAGTCAAGTTGTTCACTATTCAGGTGCCGGTGTTATGTTGTCAAGGTGCTTGCTCAGCCTGGACACCTTGCAGCACTGTTTCAATCTCCTTTCCAGCTTGAGAAATCAAATACACATAAGCGTGAGCCTAAGCAAACTCACACAATGGCTAGGCTGTGGTGGGAGATTGCGAGCAATGCAATAATATGAATGCAGTCCAAAAGATGAAATCGACAATTTAACACACCCACGCTCACAGGACCCACCCCAGTGCTATGTCCTTCTCCAATTGCTTCTTGTCCAGCACGCTGCATGATTCCTTGTACTTCAAACCTGCTTCCAACAGTTTCGACCAATTGGATACAAAGGAATGCCGATCCTGAGTGATGACATCGAGATCAGCCAGGCTTCGGGTCATCTTCCTGCCCTCCAAAACGGTCAGCAAACCGTGCAGCCACTGATGGCTGAAGCTGGCATTCTCCTTGGAATTAGCTTCGGAGGCATTTTCATTGCAACCACCTTCTTCTGCAGTGCCACATGCCTGCAGGGATGAAGCACGACAAAACTTGAAAATCATACTTTGAGAAATTTGAGAAGCATCCTAGACTGCAGGCAGCTAAGCATTCCCAATGCTATCATGCTGCCACAAACAAAACCAGGTGATATTTACTTGGACTGACGAAATCTTGTATTTCGGAAAGAAATGATGTAAAATGATGACACAAATTTCTTCGAAGCACTCCGTGCGCAAGACTGTAGGCTTCTGCAGGCCCATACGATGCAAACTGCAGTAGTCCAAGCGTTGCGTTCGAACGAAGCTCCTTCAAATCAACTAAGGTTTCGTTGGTAAGCCCCATCGTAGTCATGACTTCAGGCAATGACCACTTGTTCTTGTAGAATTTCACTGCGGAATCCACATAGATGCTCACCAGTGGAGGCCACTGCGAGAAAACATTCCGACTTGTTTCGTAGCTCAAATCCAGACTTGTAACTGAGCTCGCATGAAGCCCGCATTCGGCTGACCTCGCAGTCGCAATCGAAATCAAAATTCATAATGACAGGGGACCGGTGGTGAACATAGCGCGTGACATGAACGAATCCAAAATGGAAAAGCACAAAGGTGGAGAAGGTGGATTGATATTTCCATAGTAGTGTCGTTGGCAAACGAAAAAGAATCCTTTTTAATACATTGAGCTAAGCAACCGATCATGTTCAGAGAGCTCAGGAGATGGAGGTTTGCAAGAACAGGTTTGCATGATTCCCATCATCATATTGCGCAGGACTGGAGCAATGGAAGGTGTCCTTAGTCTGTGGAAAAATGCAACATCAAAAACAAAATAATTCATAACTTTGTAGCCTCCAGCCACTAGCCTGCCGGCGTCCCAATCACTATTTTCTCTCGCTGGTGAAATTTGCAGAAGGCAACTTCAAGACAATTGCATAAAATGTGAATGTCATGATCCTCCCCGGAATCCTCCCTTTCCTCTCGTCTTCCAAAAACACCGGGTGCAAAGAAAAACAAAGAAACCAACCTGAATTGAATATCTAGTGTCTTTTTGATTGCTTTCAATCGCTCGGCCAATTTTGGTCCAAACTCCTCTGTTTTGCTGCACGCAGGAAGGCCTAGCCCCTCTTGGCAAAAGAAGACAAAAGCCTTGACATTTTTCTCGTCATCCACAACTGATTCATCAGCCTCACTGGGGCTGCTTCCATCACTCATTTGACCATTTGACAAGAATAGAAAAATATCATGATAGTTGCGCTTGGTTTTCAGGCCAGAAATAGAAAAGTGTGATTCAAAAGGCGAATGTGGTAGAAACTTGTGATTTTTTCTTGCTTGGCGCAGCTGAGGCTGAGCTGGAAGGACCCGACTCTCCCAAAAACTTCTGCAGCTTTTCCACCATGGACTGATCACTGCTGATAGTGGAGAAAGAAGGCAGGACCGCTTTCAGAATAGATTCATAAAGCTGGTTCATGGCGTAAGCCTTGCACTTGCTGAAGGACTGGGCAGGCTTGTCTGTGCCAACATCAAACTTCCCGGTGAAAGCAAAATGAAGCATCCGGCTGAAAAAGTTTCCAACCATCTTCCTGAAAGCCTCCGTGCCAGTCCTCATGGCTGCAGGGTCAGGACTTAATTAATAGCTTTTGATTTCCAACATGTTTTACCCACCCGTAACCCGTACCATTTAAATCTGATGGATTGGGGAACGACCAACTAGTTAGTTCTAGCTGAGCACTGTAAAAAACACATTTTTCCAAGTTTCAAGTTGTTCGACACAGCACTTGAGAAGTCTCGGTCAATTAGGTGGACAACGTAGGAAGCAGAACCCATCACCACATCCACAAAAGTCTTTACTCTCTTCGATTTCTTCGTGTAGAGACTCACTGGCTCCTCGGAACACAAGCGGAAGGAATCGATCCCAGCCATTCCACCAGCAGCCTTCGCCTTCGCTTTTGCTTTCGGAGCAGGCTTTGATTTCCCTGAAGACTGTGCCTCACTCTGTCTGATGACCTCTGACCCTTCCATTTTCTGCACCATCCGGGTTGCGATTTCGGGACGTGCTTTGTCAAACAGCCACTCCACAGCATCAGGGTACTCGTCCAACCAGGGCACCTTGGCGTGTGATGTCATACTGCCATATCTTGATATCATAATATGATAATCATGTCTTAAATATTCCTGGGGTACCAGAGTACCATGCATGTGTACAGCACAAAATTAGGTGAGGAGGACCAGAGAAAACATAAACTGCTTTCGTTGCTTCTCTCTACATCAATCTTTGATGTTGGGCTGTTGCTTTCATTGGTTGAACGTACAATTCTTTTCTTCTTGGTTGATGTTGGGCAACTTCCGAACAACAAAATCCGTCGATGGCGGATCACCCTGGATAGGAGCCAAGCTACGCAAAACTTCACGGCTTCCCATGCCAAAAGTTCAAGAAACTGCCTTGAATTTGCCCATTGGGCCATTTGGCGCATCAAGCAAATGAACTGCTGAGAATCCCAGGAAAAACAGAAACAAGCTGAATTTACATCAGGCTGCGACCCACACTGACCAAGCCAAAAAGAAAATAGCTGCAAACTGCAAACTTTCAATTACAATGACAATTACTATCAATTACTGATATTGATCCTGTAGCTGTCTTTGGACACATGCACACCCCGGCCTGTCATCCACATCATCAGATACATTCTGAGTCAAAATGGACAAGAGGTTGTGGATTGCTGTGAAAGCCGTTTCAGGCGTGAACTGATCACGTAAAATGTCAGCACCCTTGTTCATCTCTCCCACGGCAAACTCCAAGAGGCCCAGCGAATTGAGTACATTGGCACAAATCTTACATTGGTCAAATGCCCTGAAAGACCTCAGGAAAAGGGTGCATCCAAATCATCCCATCAAAACCAAACCGTTGATCTCATTGTTTCTTGAAAAAAATATCTCCAACGCAAGTTCTAATATGCAAATGCCGGGTTGAACACAATGCTTGATGGTTTTAGGCGCACGGAACAGGAAGATAGAGTTCAACTTTTGCTATTCAAGCTATGAAGCCGTTCCATTTCAGTTTTGGACCAAGCCACCTCCACACGCCAACAAACCGGTTCTGGACAAACTTCCAGTAGAGAGTCTCGTAACTGGTTGTCTGCCGGTGGCTTGCACCAAGAGATTGCCTGTGATGCCTCCATGCAGATTCTGCCTTGCAGAAATGCGGGACTGGGGAGATAGTTCCCCAGCCATTAAGTCTAATGCGGAAGCAATCATCACAAAGGTGGACCACCAGTTTTGAACCCCAAAGGCTAGGAATCGGCTAGGAAGGCAAAGGTTAGCTAAACTCAAAACATTTTGGATTCCACC